GTTTTTTTTGTTTTGTTGTTGTTTCGTTATAACGGATTTTTATTCACGTTGCTTTTTTTTTTTTTTTTTTTGTATTTGTGTTTTTTTTTTTTTTTTTTTTTTTTTTTTTTTCACTGTTTTTGTTTTTGTTGTCGTTGTTGTCAGGGTTTCGTTCTTTTGTTGATGACTCCGGGAGGATGGAGGAGGGGTTTTATTTGCGTGGCCGTCTGTTCAACAGCTCGGCGCCTCTGCACGACGGCGGCGGGCGGGTGTGAGAGTTCGTGTCTTCCTCCTTCCCTCTTCTCTCTTTTTTTTTTTTTTTTTGTTTTTGTGCCTCCCTTTTTTTCGATTTTGTGTTGTGTTGTTTTTGTCGTCATAATCATCGCTGTCGTGGCCGAGAAGAAGAAGAAGAAAATAAACAAATAAATAAATTAATAATAATAACTCATGAATGGCACAAAAGGAAACACACGAAAGAAAAAAAAAAACAGGTAACTGCGACGATATGGGCAAAGTGAGTGGGGTTGCCCAGGCCTGAGGGAAGGAAGAAAGACTGGGGAAAAGTAATTAAAATTGAGGGTTGAATGCGGGGATGAGGGAGGAAGGGCGGGGGTTTTAGTGTTTGTTTCACCCCCTCCTCATTGCCCAACGGTCTTTTTATTTATTTATTATTATTGTTATTATTTCTCTTAGTGTGTATGTTTATTCCCTTCATTATTGATTGTTCTTTGTTATCATTATTATTGCTGTGGTTGTTGATTGCTTGCTTGTGTGTGTTTGTGTGTTTTCCCTTTATTTACTTATTTTTCTTTTTTTTTGATTTGTTTTTTCTTCCCTTCTCCCCACACCTTTTTTTTTTTGTGTGTGTTTGTGTGTTGTTGTTCTTCTTCTTCCTCTCAACGGTCGCGGAGAAAATGCTCTGGATTGACGTGTTTCTGGTGAAATGGACCCAGTCGCCATAAGTGGTCGTGGTAAATAATAATAATAATGATAACGTGCTCCTTACCAAATTTTATAATTCTTTTCGCGAAGCGTAAATTTTGAATACCCACCCAACCCAACGCAACTCATCCTGCTCCGCGCGGGCGGTGGGTAAAAGACGATTTTCACAACTTTTTTTCTTTTCTTATGTTTCCTCCCTATATATATATAAATATAAATAAATATATATATAATGATCATCGACAATGAGGAGTTGTCTTGGATTCCCTATTGAGCACTGAAGTAATATTTGTGTGGCCATAAAGCTAAAACGACCAAAAGCGCATCACGGTTTTTTTTGTTTTTTTTTTTCTTTCTTTCTTTTTCCTTTTTCCATCTTTCTTGGTGGAGAAAGAAAGGGATATTAATGGCTAACGGTTTTGTTGTTGTATTGTCTTCGCAGCTTTCAGCATTTTTCTTCTCTTTTTTTTTTTTTTTTTTTCTTTTTTTTTTTGTTTTGTTTTCGTGGTGTTTTTGCGTGCTGTTGTTTATTTTCCGATTTACGTGTTGGCTACGGCGATTCATGCGGCTGCGTTTGTGGCCTTTTGTTTGTTTGTTTGTTACTTCCTCTCCCACCGCTCGTGGCGGTCCTGACGGAGATGGGGGAGGGCCATCTTTTTTTTCTCAGCACTGCACCTTTTTTTTTTTTTTTTTTTTTTTTTTTTTAAGAGGCGGAAGAAAAAAAGGAACGAAGATTTTTTTATTTATTTGCTTTTTTTTTTTTTTTTTTTTGTTAAACTGTTTGTTACGCATTGTCCATGTTTTTTTTTTTTTTTTTTTTTCCGTGCCGCCCCGTCCCTCCTCCCCCCATCCCCCCTGTCCCACTTAATTGGCCGTGCCGTGATGGTTATTGTCATTATTATTACTACTCTGTTGTTATTATTATTTTCCTTCGTGTGCACTGTGTGTTGTGCTGGTCTCTTATTGTTGGGGGGGGTGGGGGAGTGGGGGGGATGTTGTTGCCTACACATGCGTCTGATGCCTTTTTGTTGTTGTCGTTTTTCCCCCGCCATGAAATGAGGCACGCCGTTTTTTTCCCGCCCTTTTGTTTTTGTTGTTGTTTTTTTTTTTTTTTGCCCCGTGATGGAAGCAAATAAACAAAAAAAGAAAAGAACGCGTTTTGTGGGGGGACGACCTGCCGACGGCAGCACGACGAATTTCAGCGCATCAGGAACGGTGGCATATTTAACTCCATTTCTCTCCTTACAATTATATACCTATCTATACCTATACCTCTATATATCTATCTATCTATCTATCTATCTATCTATATCATATATATATATATATATATGTGTGTGTATGCTTGTACATAATTAATTATTTATTATATTTAATTCTGCCGAAATAGGGGCGGGTGGGGGCACAACGACAGTAAAATAAAACAACAACCAGAAAAACAAAACAAAAAAACGTTGAGAAAAAAAGGAGACCGAGAAAAGAAAAGAAAAGAAAGAAGAAAAAACAGCAACAACGAAAAGGACGGAACAAACAAACAAAAAATAATAATAAATAAATAATGATGAAAATAAACAACAAATTTATTCTGCATTGAAGGTGTGGTTCATTTTACTATACAATTAGAGGCTTTGGGATGGAATGCACGAACAGACGGAGCCTGTTGTTATATGAGAGCGCGTCTTTTTTGAATTCCCCCCCGCTTCCTTACTGATTGTTTTTTCGTTTTTTGTCACTAAAGGTACCGCACTGGAGGGTAGCGAGCGCCGTTCTTTGTTGTTGTTGTTGTTGTTGTTCTTTCATTCTACCCACCCCCCTAACTACCACCCTTCACGCTGAGGGGAGCCCGGTTGTGGTGGCGTATGCCTGTTGAAATTACCCTTTTTTGTGTGTGTGTGTGTGGGTTTATAAGTGTTGGATGAACCTCAACCGCATTTGGAGATGGCGGGCACATCGGACCCAAATGTGACCTACGCTTGTTGTGTTTTTTTTTTCTTCTTTTTCTTCTTCTTTAATCTCATTTGCGGGAATGGGGGCAGGGTCGCATCCAGACGTATATTCTTAAGTTGTTTGTTTGTTTGTTTTGGATTTCTTTCTCTTTATTTATTTTTGATATGTGCGGTTTGATGTGTTTATCGTTTTGCGACGGGGCATTGGGGAGAGTGGGGGGGTTGGTTCCCGAGAAGGCCTGCCATTTGGCTTCCGCGCTCCCCTCTTAACAACACAGTGCCGTCGCGTGAGCAACGAAGGAGGCGAGAAAAGCGAGGCAACAAAAGAAGGTTTTTTTTTTTTTTTTAAAGGGAGTTAACTTCACATTTTGTTTGTTTGTTTGTTTGTTCTTATTTCTGTGGATTTTTATTTTTATTTTTGTTCTGTTTACGTGGAGTCACTCCCTCCCCATTCCCCCACTTATTTTTGTATTTGGGTTTATGAATTCGATCCTCCCATTTATTTATTTATTTTTTTGTCTTCAGTCTCAAGGTGGGAGGCAGGTGGGGGGCTTGCACACACACACACACACACACGATTTCTTCTTCATCGTTCTTTATGCAGCGCCGCGTGGATGCTGCTTCCCAGTACCGTTTGTTATCGTTTGAACAGAGGCGGCAGAGCACAGTGAGGGGGCTTGACAAAGTGACACCCGTCCGTTCGACTGGTTACATAGTGCGTCGTTACGAGACACCTCCAGTGGGTGCCAACGGCACTGCTTCATTAGAGTCTACAAAAGAGAGAACAGACGGAGAGGATGAGATCCAAAAACTTCTTAGCAACGCTTTTTCTCTTGCAGCCAGCCATCATTCACACGGCGGCAAAGTCGCTACAGCATTCTCCGCACCGTCTTCCGAGACGCCACCAAATATATCAGCTATTGACAACGCGTATTTGCATGCCATGAACATTGCTTATCGCTTGTACGGGCAACAACCGAATGGGTGATTTGGGGATGTTTTTGCTTGATTTGTGCAATTCCTCTTTACCGATGTGTCCCATAATGACATAAACGGTAACTGTGCTTGTGGGAAATCCTCTTCCCCTTATCTGGGGGTGCGATAGCGGTGTATCGGGATATTATGTAACGGTGCAACCCGTTTCAATGCCACCGGCGATGCTGGCACGGCACACCTTTGCGCCATGAGAAATCCCCTCAACAGTGTGCAACGCCTGTGTGAAAAATACACCTTTGATGGAAAGGCAATCTCTTCTATACAAATAAGATGAGTGGTAAGGGCTAAAGGGGAGAATGTAGGCGACAGCGACTCAATTCGTACCAGAATGCTTTGTTGGTGGGGACTGTGTTATTTTTATTTTTATTTTTTTGTTGTTTTCTTGTAAAGATACGCCTGTACAATAATGCCTCAGTCTTTTTTTTTTTTTTTTTTTTCTATTTTCACCTGCAGAGACCGACGGTTGTGCAGATGTTTTTTTTTTTTTTTTTGTGAGTGTGTTTGTGTGTTCCTGCGTGCCTCCTCTGATCTGCGTTTTGGTTTTCAAGTGCCTTGTTTCCGTCCATGTTTATTGCGTTGCTTCTCGTTTTCCGCCCCTGGCACCGCATGGGTTAAGTGAAAGGGAAAGGAAGGGAAAGAAAGTCACAAACCTTTGCCACAGCGGTTTTTATCTCCCTTCCCTTCCGCCGCGGAAACAAACAAACAAAAAAAAAAGGTGGGACAAAACCACAACAAAACCGAAGGGAAAAGGAAAAGACTTGCCTTTTAATTCTTTGTTGTTTCTTTTTTTTCACCTTTTTTTTTTTTTGTGTGTGTGTTGTTTTGTTCTTGTTGTTCTTTTATTTTTGTCTGGACGCGTATCGTTTGGGCTGTGGGCGAAGCTACACCCATTTATTTTGCGCCTTTTGTGCTCTCGTTGGTCTCTTCTTCTTCTGAGAGAGAGAGAGAGAGAGAGAGAGAGGAGGAGCGCAGTTTGGAAATCGGGCAAGAGCCCAAGACCGAATTTCGGGGGCCTTTCTTTGCCCTTTTTGCGGGATTATTCTCTGGGCACACGACAAACTTGGAGTCTCTCCTGAGGCGGCCGTACTCGTTTTTTGTGGGGGACAGGCACGGAGGCACGGAATGCGGTGCTGTGGGCGCAGCAACGCGGATGTCGCCATTCTCATCACACTTTATTTGGTCACCTCCTACTCTGTGCATAGCTACTACACATTTCTGTTTCCCCAAACACTGAGTGCGTTGGGATTGGCTTTTCTGCAACCGTTTAGAAGGGTAGCTAGACCAAATTCCTCCTTTCCTCTCCACCTCCACAACTTATTTAACGTGGCAACGAAGGAGTGGATCTTGTTTGGTGTCTCTCTTTTTTTGTTTTTTCTCGCAATCTGGGCTTACTTGGCGGCGGCAGTCACCGATGCTGGTCGTGTGCCCTCGGCGTTTGGACAACATGCTCCTAGGAGCGCTTCCTTAGCTTTGAGGGTGTCCGGTGCATTAAACATATGCCCTGTGTGTGGAATGTATAAGCCGCAAAGGACACACCATTGCAGTCGGTGTAGGCGTTGTGTACTGAAATATGACCATCACTGTCCATGGCTTGGCCGCTGTGTAGGATTTTTTAACTACAAGTTGTATCTTCTTGTGGTATTTTACACATTTTTGCTTACGCTGTGGGTGGGTACGTTGCTGTTGTCGGATATGGCCCTCTATATTGTGCGGCACTATCGAGTTGTTGGTTGGAAGATTGTACATCGAGATGTGGGGCCTTTTCCTATTGGGCCTGACGGGACATGTTGGACGGGACCGCTCATGGTTGGTGGTACCGCTCACTATCAGGCGCATTCTGGGAAGCCATATGGTTCTTTAATCAATGCTTTAGGTGACAGCTTTGGCGCTTGCCCTCCATTCTTGGGTGTCTACATCTGCCTATTGGAGGCGATGATATTTTTTGTTTTGACGGCCTCGCTCCTGCGGAAGCACTGCTGGCTGGCACGGCATAGCCTGACGACGCTTGATCTTGTTATTTATCAGCATCAGCTAGATGAGGGATTATCTAGTGGACGTCACATAAACATTTTTGACATTGGTGTGAAGGGTTGTTTGCATCAAGTTTTTGGTGATGGCGACGAACGGGGAGAGCATTTGCACCCAAACTTTATTGTGAGGTGGTTCTTCCGCCTGTTGCCCTTTCCCGCATACCCAAAACAGGCGGAGTTCCACTACAGCTCACCTCTTAGTATTGACGACACGGAGAATTTGTTGGGTGAAACCCCTTTTTCTGCGGTATCACACACGACGGTCTCGGTGCCAAGTTACGGAACGCTAAATGAGGCTGCGCCTCCTTATAACATGATCAACAAGAACGACAAAAACGTCTCTGCCGACGTGGGTCGTAGGAACGAATACCGTCACCATCCGTTGCAGTATCCTGGCCAAACGAGGCACCTACTGGGTCTGAGTTTTCCCACTGTCTTGTCGCTTGCCGGACCTGGTGGGATGTGACAATTCGTGTCAGCACCGTTCTTGTCATCGCCCCACTTTTTTTTTTTTTTTTTTGCGTATTTCTTCAGCAAAGGGAAAGAGGGAACAAACAAGCGACCCCGTGGCCAGAGAGAACAGAAACACACCTAAACACACATACATACACACACAAACAAACAAACAAAAGAAAATACAAAACTCTGTGGGGTGGGAAGGAAAGGCCATCACTTGGAGGTGAGCCAAAGATGCGCCACCATCCCGGGGGAAGGTCTAACGGTTTAGATGATTACCAACTGGTGAATGCTTTGGAATCTTCTCTCTTCCTCTGTCTGGTACGCGTTTGTATATAAATACACAAATAAAAACATTTATATCAGTCCTTTTTTTTTCCCTGTGTGTGTCTTTTTTTTCCTTTTTATTACTATTCGGGAACACACACGCAGCAAAGGAGTGAGCACCATGCGACGGTCACAAAAAAAAGTTTGGGGCGCTGTGTCTTGCTTTTTTCACGCAACTTCCCAGTGGCTGCGACGTCATCAGTCTGGCGGGAGCGGTGTTTCTAACATCGACGACTTTTCCAAGATTCTTTCGCAGGCCCAAAAAAACTCACCTGGCTGCGGGTGTTCTTCGGATTTCTTTAATGGTCGCTTTGCGGGTGGGAGTGCGACGATCGACCCCTCTATGTTGCAGGATATGCATCGTACGCTGAATCAGTCTCTGTCACCGGAAGTGCGGGATTCAATGCGTGCCATGATGGAAGGTCTGAAGCGCGGCGACGGGCTTCCGCAAATGGGAGTGATGGCGTTCGGTGTGGGTGAAAATGAGAGGGGGAAGAAGGTCGCCAGAGGCGCCAAGTTAGCCTTCGACCCGAACACGGGGAAAGTGTCAAAGGACTTTGTGGAGAAGCAGTTGGAGGAGGATGACCCAATGCTGCCCAAGGAGACGGTCGGGGATTACCACACTGAGGGGGCCATCGAGGTGGAGTTCGAGGAGGATGCAAAGCGACACGCATCCGCCGCCGCGGAAACAATATCTGAAGCCGAAGTGGTATTGGAAGAGACGCCTGCAGCTTCAATGGGCAACGGCAACAACGCAAAGAATGAGCGAGTGTAACCATGAAGGAAACGGCGTGGACCGCGGAACGAACAGCCTCAAATGTTCCCAATGCACCCGTATTTGTCATTGGTGCCACCATGCTTCATACACTTTGCGTCCCAAAAGAATATAACAACGATTC